GAAAATATAACTTAAATTTATTCCCTCGATTGAATTAGTCAATTTAAAAAATAATATCAATATTCTTTAAGTTAAATAGCTGTTTCGTTTGGTTGTTTCACGCATATCCTGACAATTAAACAATATATTTAATGTAATAAAATTAATGCAGACAGAATGTTACTATATAATTTGATTAAATTTTATCTTATGTCAGATTTATCATTATTTAAAAATTGTTTTAATTGATGGTTACATATGAATCCTCATGATACCTAAGTTTAGATAAAAACGAAGTATCAAACAGTAGGGTAATTATATTCCCATTAAAAATTTGTTAATTACACGACATTTTAACTGCAATTAACATTTATAATCTTCATTTTCATAATTATGTTCTCCATTATTTTTCCCTAAATCCTTATCATTTTTATGAGAACTAAATGAATAGATTATAATATTATAATATTTGTCAAATTTTTAAACCATCCATACACAACATTAACAAGTTAAAAATTTCAATACTGAGAGAACGTACAATGAAGGAAAATAAAGAGAGTCTGTTGAAACTACGTTTTGAATTTCTTGCCAATGGAGAGCATGTAAAAGGGATTGAAAGATGTCTATTTTTTATAAAATAAATGTGAGAGTAGATGTAGGGTTGCTTTGTTTTAGTACATACATTATGTAATAAATATAATTAAGATCATTATAGCTATAAATATCAAGTTTTCTCATTCTAGAACTACTATTAATGAGAGCAATTTGTTGTGGGTTTAAGGTAATAACTCTTATCAATAAGAGCAATTTATTGTATGCTAGAGTTTCTCAAAATTCGAAAATAGCCTAGATGAAGCTTATGTATGTGAATGTATTCATGTTGGGCATTAGAGTTTTGGAGAAATTGATTTGCGTGAGACGAATTTTATGAGAAAATATGGTTGTTTTGGCCTTTGACAATTTTTTTTTTTTTATTATGCTAAAAAGATAATGCAATTTTTTTCTCTTGTTTTATTTTTTTAATTCTTTTAGTAATGTCCATCTAAATGATAAACATGAGTTACTGATAAGTTAATGAGTATTGTGAATTTATTTATTTATTTTTTTGTGATTAGTTAAGCTTGGTTCACATTCAATTTAATTTTTAATGTCATGGATTTAATAGTATGAATTTTTGACTTTAAATTTATCTATTATCATGAATCATTTCAATTATATATATCCATTTGGAGCATTTTAAGCACGTGGTAGCCCGACAGTATTATTGTCTCATCATATTCATATAAATATGCTTATTTTTTTTTTCATAGTTATGAATTTGTGAAGCCATCTTTGACACATCTATATGTCAAATTTTTTTTCCACCACTGTATCTTTTCGCTTGACTATTTATATTTATAATATTTAGAATTTTTATTGAGTTGTTTTATTATTTATTAAACTACGATTTAATAGTTACTTTTAGGAGAGATGAGGGAACATTAGCATAGGTGCAATTATATTGAACTTTTGCAAATAGGATTTTGTTGAAACGTGAACATAAGTCACTTTGTATCATTCTTTGATTGATTAAATAAAATCATTTGAAGAATAGTGGATTATAAAAGTGCTCATAGTTCGATTGAGATCTACAGCAATAGAACGGCCATGCTGAAGTTTCAAAACTAATTTCATGTGATGGGGGTATTATATATCATCAGAATTAATCAATATTTTTCTTCTAAAAGTTTCACTATTAGACTAATAGGTTTTTTTTTTTTTTATAATTTTTTTTAAGGAAGTAATTTTCAAGCTATGCTGTTCAAGGACACATTCGAAAAGTTCTTTCACATACTTGAGAAAAGAAAATCATACCGACTTCGAAATGGAAAAATAAGAGTAATCAACCATTATTCAACATTTTCATATTATATACATAATTTCATAAAAACTTTTGTTAATATTTTTTTTACAATTTTAAATTTTCCTTTAACAATATCAATTACCAGCTACTTAAAATTTTTTTTTTAGTATTTTAAAAATATTACTCATATTATTCATTAGATATATGAAATGTGCAACGTACGTGCTTATACTCATTAAGAGGAGGAAGTGAAGATTTATAAGCCTGTGAAGTAAGCTCACATTCCTTAACAATTTTATAAAATTTTCTGGAAGTGGTCAGTTCACACTTCACACCAAGATTATGCTTGTTTATCCTAAAAACCTTCACATCAAAATTCTATTTTTACTTTTTATTACTAGTCCAATGTTTTTTTCATTTTCTATTTGTTTATTTGACTTTAAATCCCTTACTTTGTCAAAATGGTTTATGCTACTCAAACAAGGGTCTGGCGGGGCTGAGGTTTCGCCATCTCAACCATTGATCTGAACTTTATTTGAAATTCAAATTTCATATCAAGGGTTGAGGTGGTGAGCCCTATCACAGGGCCTGTCAAATGCCTTTTTTTGTGTAGCTCGATTCTTGTTACCAATTTTTCAAAATAATGAGTATCTATCTCTCTTCCAACCAATAGGACAAATATTAAAAAGAAAAATCAGTGTCCCATTATTCTAATGATGATCTCTTTCCAAAAATATCCCCATCTATGGGCCACGGGCCAATAGTCTAGTTGTTAAAATTTTCACACTTGTTAGTGAAAATTATTGTGAAAATTACAACCGCACGTGATTTTTAATTTCCCAATTCAAAAATAAAGTTTAAAAGTTTTTCTCTAAATATCAAGTATTAATTAAACATCTTAATATTAATAATATTATTATAAATTAATTTACATACCCACCCTCATCAAAAACCCCTAAATCATTTTCATGTTGTGAAGCATCGTTGTACGCAGTTGATAAGTGTAGTTTTTACACTTATTTGGGATTCAAAATGATAATATTTTGTTATTTTTTGGATGGATTAGTGTCTGATTTGTTATTTATTGCTATTATTATGAGAAAGAACGAAAAATAGCTAAAATGAAGCAAATTCAAAGTCCAGGCACTAAAGTGCAATTAATCAAAAGTTGCATCGGTTCTCACGATAAACATTCGAGAGTGCTAGGTGTCAAACAGACGAGAAAGAAGTCAAAGAGATGAAGTATAATCAAAGCATCACACATCAACTTTCAGTCAAAAAAGCTATGCTTTGGATTCTCGGTTTCAGTTTTAGACCCATTTTTTTGGCATTGCAAACATTTCAATTGGAAGATTGATATAATGGAATATTTGTAGCCCTTTGAATTATCTTTTCAACGTACTTTTAATCATCTCAATCGCATATCGGAATAGAAAGTTATGACCAAAATATCGAATGTTGTCCGACGAAAAATGTTGCTTAATGAAGATCCTTCTATGCAGCGCACCTTCTTACTCTATGCGGCTGTATAGTGATAAATTGTGCGCGATTTTTGTTTCCTTGTGTTTCATTCAACTATATTTTTGGGGCAACTATATAAACTAGAACTCGTCCAACGTAAAGGAGACCTCCCAAGACCTAAAACTCTACACGTTTCATCTATTTTAGAGGCGAAGAACACGATAATTCATTAGCATCAAGGAGAATTACTCAAAATTTATTGAAGATCTTTCATCCTTTTCAAGATTTGGGCCAATAAACTTTTCTTCGATCCGGGTGCTAGTTTTTATTATTTCATGTGTAATTTAATATTTAGGATGACGGGCTAGTATTTCAAGTGTATTGGATGAATGATCTAACCTTATTGTTATTTTATTTTAATTCAAGACTATAATTTAATTTTTCTTGATTAGTTTTGTATTCTCATCATAATTATTTGGTGCTTAGCTATCAATTATATAATAAATTGTTTGTTGTAGTTTAAGAATACTTATAATGAGTTTAGAATGTGGCAAAATTAACATATGCAGTTAAAATTAGGAGTAATCTCTTTCATATATATAATCACTTAGATAACTTAAACTAAATGCATAATTTTCATATTAATTCGGATTAAGAATAGAATTGGGTCATGTTAATTCTAAGTTGACGACTCTTGAAAAATAGCATTTAACATATTAGTCATAGTTGATATAATTGGTAATAAAGAGATTCATGACTCCTCTTGTACAACCATTCATACATTAGAAAATCACATTTTAATTGCTTTATTAGTATGGAAACAAAACCTCTATTGTATTATAAAACTTGTTGAATTTGATAATAACTAGTAAACCATAATTAGACATTGGGGATGGGATGAAGAGCGTTTGCGAACAATAAATAATATGTGACAATAAAATAAATAAATTTGTGAGCAATAAATAATACGTGACCCTAAATAATGTGAGATTGCGACTTATTTGTAATTGTGACTTACATTTTGTTAAATTGTGACTAATTAATTGAATAATTTGAGATAGAAAAATGATTTATGACTTGTTAATTTGATAATTTATGATCAAGAAGTAACATTTGACTAATAAAATTTGTGATTTATGATCGAGAAATAATACATGATTTATTACTTTGATAATTTGTGACAAATAAATAAATTGTAACTTATAAAATTTGTGATTTCTGATCAAAAAATAATATATGTTCAATTAATTTGATAATTTGTGATTGATAAATAAGTTGTCACATAAAAAAATTATGATTTTTGATTGTGACATGTGACTTAGGTCCCGTTTGATACCCATTTTTTTTAAAATGTATTTTTCTCTTTCTTCTTTTTAACCACACATTCTTAATTAAAATAAATTACACGTAAATAAAAAAAATTTCCTTATATTTCAACCACACATTTCCCATCAATTTACTTTTCAAAAATATATTTTTACGTAAAAATGTCTCACAAACACTCCCCTAATATGTAACTGTGATCATAAATTGTATAGTATTGTGATTTTGATATATTTGATTAATAAAATATTTTTACTCATTTAATTAATTAATAAAATTTAATTATAACTGATTTTTGAAATTTTAAAATAATTTCCTTAATTTTGAAATTATATCTTTTAAACACGTATTATTACTTTATTGGACAAACTTTTTCAGTCCATTTATGTTAAACCCAATTAGGGGTAGACAAAGGACCAGGATGACTCCGTGCTTCAAGGTTTCAGAAACGGTAGTCAAGTCACGTGACAAAAGAAACTCTTATCGCGTGAGCAGAGCTGACTCTGTCGGAACGACTTAACATGTTTTGGCAGTTTTTATCCAGACGGTCTAGATCTGGACCACGCGTAGTACCCTGGTTATGTTTTTGTTTCACGCGCCGCCAGAAAAAGTAGAATCTAGGATTCAAAACAGTACAATTTGTACGGACATACGCACTAGTGTCTGAAGTCTTAATCACTTTCTCCAATCCAAAACCACGCGCTTGGTAGAACAAAGTCTTCCCCTCGCAGCGCCATTTTTTTTGTACTCTTTGAACCACTCCTCAGTCCTCACTTCCCAGTTTGGCAGTTTCCTACTCTTTCCTTTCTCTCTTTGAAAATAAAATAAAATCTGCAGATGAAGTGGGTCCCACCCATAATGGGCGGTGCCGTCGCCTCAAGCGGCGAGGGGAAGGCGGTGGTGTTTAAGTCGAAGCTGAAATTGGTTGGTCTGGTTGGCCTTGTCCTGTCCACTTTTTCTCTCTTCACACACTTTCTTCTTGCCAGATATACTGCTGGGACTGCTCTTTCTGAGTACCAATCTTCCATCACCATTTTTTCTTGGAGGCCTATTTTTGACACTGCGGATCTTTCCACCACTGTAATGTGCACTCGAAGATCTCATTTTTAGCTCTTTTTATGCTTTAATTCGTTTGTTATAGTCATATAACCTTTCTGCATGTTTAAAACATTGAATCAGAGGTTCTTTTCCGTGTAATTTTTTCATTTTCGAGCGAACCATACTAAACTTTAAAGTTTAAGATTAGTTTTGTTTGGAAAAAGGTATGAACTGTTTTCCAGAATATTCAAGTTCTGTTGTGGTGGGTCACTTCGTAGGAGTAATAACTTTTTGGCGTTCATTTTGGTTACTTTTTGAGTTTTTAACTCTACTTTTAGAGTTCCAATGTCAATTTCCTCTCATTGTGTTTTTATATCATAATTATGGCCGATTTTTTGTTTCGAAAAAGTTGTTCACTGTCATTAGAGAATTTTGTTTGGCATTCACTGTTATCTAATTATGATAGGCTCTGCTTTTTAATTGTTTTTGTACAGTATGATAATTCGGTAAGTTCTATATTATGCAGAGTGCATTACAGAGAAGACTTTGGGGGCCGATAAGGCCTCTTGAATCATTACACCCTTATGCCAATCCCCGGGGAAACTATCCAGGTTAAATCTTTAATCTCCTACAATCTAATTATACATCATTGTAAGCCAGCGATTCACTGTATGATTTTGTGACACTTATCACAGAGATTTATTTGTCATTGGAGTTCTGATCATGTGTCTAGTTTACATAACTGAAGTTTTTCTCTTTTTTGATGTCATTTTCATGGTCAGCTGTGCTTGTCATTTGATAGTTTACAACTTAAGTAACATAGATTAGCTATTATCTGAGCTGATACTCATTGGTTTATCATGTCTCGAGTAGTACCGCTATAGTTTAGATATTAAACTCTGGGAATAATTCATTAAAAGGTGATCTTACTGTGTTTGAATTATGATATTGCAGCTCCAGTTTTGCAAACAAATGGATTCATCTTTGTAAAGATAAGAGGGGGTTTTCACGAGATCAGGAACTCGGTGAGCACATGTTCAAATTATGGCTTTGACTAATTTTCCCTCCTTAAAATCTGCTGAAAAGGTTTTCCTATTGCTGTAAGATTTGTGATATTGTTGTGGTATCTCGACTGCTCAATGCTACATTAGTCATTCCTGAGATTCAATCCACGACAAGCAGCAAGGGAATTAGGTTGATTTCTATACTTATTTTATTACATTTTTTCAACTATACATACAATTAGGGAAATTTGCAAATTTGGCCCCCGGCTATTGCTCGAGTAGCAAGTTGTTCCTCATCCTTGTATTATAGTTGCACAATTAGTTACAAATGATGTAGATGTCCAAATATTTGTTTAGCTTCATAAAGTTGGGACACGTGTTGGCCATATGATCATTTAATAGAGATTTGGACAATTGCTGTTGTTGGAGACGAGTTATGCAAATATATTGAAAGGTTGGACCACCTTGCTACTCGAACTTTAGGTTGGGGACCAATGGTGTAACTTTTCCATATAAGCTATGGGGAGTTGTTACATATTTCTCTGTTGCTTGAACTAATATATTATTTTTCTATCAATTTTGCAATTCCCTGTGTTTTATACAGTACAGAGTTTAAGAGTTTTGCCTACCTCTATAATGAGGAACAATTCATATCTGCTTTAGCCGAAGATGTCAAAATTGTCAAAACACTTCCCAAGAATCTCAAAGGATCAAGGAGAAAGAAAGAAGTGCCTTCTTTTAAAGTGACGAGCAAATCATCTACACATTTCTATCTGCATTATGTTCTACCAGTATTGACTAGGCACTCTGTGGTTGAGATTGTTGTAGCTGATGGTGGATGCTTGCAGGTAATGTCTGATTCCACCTCTGATCCTTTGGGTTTATTAACGAAAATTCTTAAATGATAATGATTTTGATGGGTACAAAGAAATATTAGTCAACGTTTGGTTTAACTTTTGTACTATTTGATGTAGTTGAAGAATGCCGATTTTCCTTGTCTTTTCTGTTTGTGCCGTAGAGGCTTTCCAATGTCTCAATTTCAAGAATCATAATTGGCTGAAAATTGCAGAATAGATCCTGTTTACAACGACATAAGTTAAACCTTTGTTTTTAATAGGTTTGGGATTGACTATGTAAATCTTGCTACTCCATTTGGCCTATATAGGAGCAGTGTCAAATCTCATGCCTTGACTGTTAGAGTGTAAGCCGTGGCAACAGAGGATACACTATTCTGTCTTGCCCTTTGTGGACATTTTTTCCAGTCTCTCCTTTTTAAACCGATTTTTCTACAGCCCAAAATGTTTAAGGTACATTAGTATATTTTAAACACAACCCAATCATCTAAATCGTAGTTACCGTAGTTTGTCTTCATTCATTGCCAGCCCACTCCTGTATTTCTTATTTTATCAAGAATGGCTTCACATCCTCATTTCTGCTATGTTCATTTTATGGATATTGTCCTTTAACGACCCAACCATTCTGTATATCTTGTCATTAACGCTAACATAAATCTCCTGATCACATAGAATTTGCATGGTGTGTTAATCTGCATTAGCCATTACAAATTCTTGAAGTCCTTTGCTTTGACCCTGAAAATTTTGAAGTTTCTTGCAGCCATTCGATTAAAGTATCTTCCATGTACATCCTAATTTAAAAAATTTCTTCATATTTTTTTTAATTAATCATGATATTGAACATGTATATGTCTCAGCCTATACTTCCACAAAATCTTGAAGAGCATCAAAGACTCAGATGTAGGGTTGCATTTCATGCCCTAAGGTTGAGAGATGAGGTCCAGGAACTTGCCACAAAAATTCTGTACAGGTCACTATTACTTCCGTAAGTTAATGATTAGGTTGATGGGTTTTATTTTTATCTGCTTATGTAACTATATATGCAGGTTACGAGCTTCTGGCCGGCCATTTATAGCCTATGACCCAGGAATGACAAGAGATACTTTAGCATATTATGGTTGTGCCGAACTCTTTCATGTATGGTTTACCAACAATGGTATTGTGATTTATCATTTAATGCTTTAGTTAAAAATCAGAGTTTATCCAGCATCTAGTGAAATTTGTAAATTGGATTCTCTGGCAGGATGTACATACCGAACTCATCCAACATAAGCGAGCATGGATGATAAAACGTGGGATTGTCAAGGGGAACCTTTCTGTGGATTCGACCGAACAACGTCTTAATGGGTTATGTCCACTGATGCCAGAGGAGGTATTCTCCGTTTTAATTGTCAATGCTGTTTTCTCAAGAGTTTATACCAATGTTGTCGTACCCTGATCCTATAACAGTATATTCATAGCCATACGAGTGTTTTGCAGACAGTATTGTATGTGATGGTACACTGCAATAGACAAGACTTACAGCTTCATTTTATTTCTTGATACCGTCTAGTGCTGTCCACTCTGCCTTATCGAACATGCCAATACTTTCTTAGAACCTGTCTGTCTTTTATTTAATTTTTTTTGGTTAGTATGCTATCTGGACCTAGATTTTTAGAATTCATTAGTGATGCACCTCATCCAAAAACGGAGTGGCTGTTTAAATTGCTGCCATCCTGCCATCTACCCAAATTCACCTCATGCTGGTTTCCATACTTTCTGCGGGATCATTTTCATTTTCGTGTTTTTGGGAAAGTGTGGTGGAAGAGGAGTGGTTGAAATCTTGACTTCGCCTGGGGGTGGGTGGGTTTGGTAGATCACCCAGTTGTTGTTCATAGAAGGGCAATCATATAAGTTGGAATATGATATCTGTTGATTATTGAACTCATTTATTGCCGCTATGCTTAAAAGTAAGTTAAAAGTTACTTTTGAGTCATGTCTGGATAAGTCACCGTGTTCTTACATGTTAAGCAAAACTGGTTACTTATTCTGGAAGTAAGCATTTCCTTATTTTTGAAATAAGTTACTTCCAGTTATAATCATTAAAACTTATATACTCAGGAGTAAATGTTTAAGCTTAGCCAAACATACCCTTAGACACTACATAGAAGGTAACTTTTGAATGACAACCATCTAGGAGCTCAACTCATTATGGTAAAATGAAGCTTTTTTACAGGTTGGTATAATTCTTCGAGCATATGGCTACTCGTGGGACACAATTATTTACATATCTGGTGGTGAGGTCTTTGGTGGACAGAAGAAATTGATTCCACTTCACGCTATGTTTGAGAATGTTGTAGATAGAACTTTGTTAAGTATGCCATGGGAATTGAATCAAATGTATGGCCGTGAAGCTAATCTTGTCAACAAATCTCCAAAAACGCCCCCTCCAGCTAAAGGAGAAACGAAAGTTGAAGCATGGAAAACTTCCGGACCACGTCCTCGTCCACTTCCACCACCCCCTGCACGGCCAAAAACGTATAATATTGAAGGTTGGTGGGGATGGGTAGCCGAGAGTGATAATGAACCGGAAAGTACAGTCATGGAGTTGAGAACCAATGCTCATAAATTGCTATGGGAAGCAATTGACTACACAATCTGTGTGGAAGCGGACGTGTTTATTCCAGGATTTGATCGTGATGGTAAAGGGAACCCAAATTTTGCTAGCCTGGTAATGGGACACAGACTCTATCAATCTGCTGCCTCTAAAACATACCGCTTTGACAGGTAATTTTACCGTACTAGAGAACTTTATATAAGTGGTCTGTATTTTATCTTGTCTTTTGAGTCTAATTTGTCTTCTTCTATTTATTTAGTTTAGGGTTCTTGCAATTCATCTTCTTTTCGTTCATCTTTCAAGTCAGGTTTTTCTTTTAGTTAATTAATTTATAACTTTCTCTTCTGCAATATAGGAAAGATATTGTCAAGCTTTTAGAAGAGATTCATGATCAATTTTACCAAGCCAATCATACATGGATAACATCGGTACGCAGACATCTAAGAAGAAACTTAGTCGATGGATTGACCAAGGAAAACACAAGATCAAAACCACTATCTTTTCTCTCTTTCCCGGTTCCTGAGTGCTCTTGCTCGAAGATTGACTTGACCAAAGTATCATCACGTGCTTTGAGCCCTTCATCAAACTCACGGTTTCCTGCTGCACTTGGAGCTATCCACCAGTGTCCATCTTGGATGAATGGTGATATGGTTTCTGGAACAAGGGGTGAGGAAAGTGAAGAGGATCTTGATGAAGACGATTCCTCGTCTACTGGACTTCTCTTCCAGCAAAGTAGTGAAAATAATGAAGGAGGGGTCGACACTCAAATTGAGGATCAAGAGGAACTTGACGGTGGTGAAAGATGACAGGAGGGTACGTCGGATTTCATTATCTGATTCTTTTAACCATCCATAAACCTTATCATACATCTATTATGACGGTTCCGACTGGTTCAAAGCAAGATTGGCACTATTCTTAAATCGAGTGTTGTCCGTCTGATGCAAGATTGGTTTGGTGCAATCCAATCTATGGATGGGACGGTTTGATGGGCGCCAAAATGTGACCGTTCCTTTTTAACTTCTTCAGATAGGTTTCTCTATAACCATAACCCTTCAGTCTGTTTTTTGTGTAATTCAATCTGTTTCTTCGAGGCACGGAAAATTGTGGCTGGAATTGTCTCTCCACCATTTTTGCCATAAAACTGTTGTGATCCAAACGAGCAAGTGCTGCTTTATTCTGGTCATGTAATGGGAACTCTGTAAATTTGGTCGAATTGTAGAACATAGGACATAATTCTGTACAGATATTTGTGGTTAAATTTATCTGAGAGAAACCTAATCAGCTACCTTGACCTTTAGTCGATCATAACCAATTTAAGTGCCAATGAGTCCCTTGATTTATGGTTCAAAAAAATTGTTATGCAGTTTAATGTATTGAACAATACATCAAGGAGTCTGTCATGTAGATCGGTAATAATTAGAAATTGATTAAGAACAGGGGGGGAGGGGGAGCCAGTGCGGGCAAAATTTAATCAGTGTCTAACACTGAGTTTTCGAGGCCTAAGAATGACCTTGAATATGGACCCTTAACTAATCTATAAACTCTAAGGATTTATTTAACTTGAAGTCTTTACTATTAACTAAATAGCTTGGAGACCGACTTCGGAGAATTGGAGCAATTTGGTTAATATTCAAAGAATAAGATACTTTTCTTTTTCTAAACATTAGTAGTAAATTTTCTACATTCGCTATTGTCTCAAGTGAAACTAAATAGATTCAAGATAACATCACTAGATTCTAAGAATCTAATTTATAAATCCTCAATCTTCAAGCGGCAAATTATTGATAAACAAGTATTGAGGTAAATTGCAAGAGAGCATTATATTAAAGGGCAAAATTCTTTCATTCGTCTCAATGCTTAAGGACTAATCTCTTCTTCCCGTCCTTTGATTTCTCCACATCCCAAGACTCTTACATTTAATGCATCAACCACTTAATCCCATGTTTTACAAACCCCCAAATAACCTTCACTTCCAGTATTATTTCTTCTAGTTAATGCATCAACCACCTAATCCCATATTTTACGAACCCCCAAATAACCTTTTCACTTCTAGTATTATTTCTTCCGATCCCAAGAAACACCTAAAATTAGGGATGTTAAACGAGCCGAGCGGCTCGTCGGCTCGTTAAAACCCGGCTCGTGGGCTTGTCCAAAAATATGAAAAAAAAAAAAAAAAAAAGGTGCAAAAAATGTGCAAAAAAAATTAAAAGAAAAAACACGAGCTCGCGAGCGGCTCGTGGGCTCGGCTCGACCCACGAGCTCGTGGCTCGTTAGCTCACGAGCTCATTGGTTAAAGGGCCGAGCCGGCTCGACTCGACCCATTGCTATCACTACTTAAAATTACTTGAATCATTTAAAAAATAAGTCAAATGCCGGAGAAGAGCACCCTTCAGCCACTCTGAAGAAAACCCCAGAAACCCAAATGGAAACACCATATTGCTTCCACTTCAAGAATTAATTTCTATCCAAAAACCAACAAACAATAACAAAATCTCATGTCCATTTCAATATCGGTAACAATAATATATAAAGAAAACCTTGATAGCTTTAAAGATTTTACAATATCTTTTCTACTTCAAGAACCAATATTTTCAACCCAAAAAAGAAAAGAAAAGAAAGATTAAATACTCAAAAAAGATGAGTAGAAGAACGCATTATGTGGCCCCTCTAGAAGAACTTAGTGATTATAGAATTTACAGTGCACTTGCTTGACCTTCAAAACAGAAGAAGATTTTGCCCATCAACATTGTGTCACAAGTGAAGCTAGACTGGGTTTGGCTCCCAAGTTCAGTGCAGGCAGGAAAGCTGGATTGGGTTTGGCTCCAAAGTTTAGTGCAGGCACCATGGCTCTGCCCCTGATTATGAATATTTTGAGAAATTCAATGCCAACTCGAAAAACTTACAAATGTCAATATGAATTATGAAACATTTAAGAGAGTTTAAGAATAATTGGAATGTTTAACCTTGTCCCATGTTGTTCAGTTCTAAAATGCATATAATTATTCCTCAAGTACAAAGCCCTTTTAACCTTTTTTTTTTTTTATTACACAAAATGATCATGATTTATAAATTAGTTGATGCACTTCGTTCTTTTATCATACTATGACCATGTCTGGGAGGGACTTTTCCAAGCTTATAAGCCATTTTATGACCTTTGGCAACTCAGAAGTGGGTCCCATTGTAGATGTAGCTTTTGACTACCTTGCCAATTAATTATCATCATTTTCAGAAATGTCCTTTCTTATAGTCAAATATGATGGCTAGAAAAAAATGTGAACAAGTAATTCAAACTAATAAAAACGGTAATGGAGACTTTTATCATATTTAGGGGATAATTTCAAGTGATGACAGTAAATACCTCGTCGCAATAGGACCATTTCTGAGTTGCCAACGGTCATAAAATGGCTTCAAATCTTGATTAAATTTGTCCCAAACAATGATTTAATAATTTAAGTTATTAAAAGTAAGTTACATGGATTAATTTAAGGGAAAAATTCATATTTAAGGTGTATTCTTCACACCATTTCAAAATTCAGGTAAAATGTTTGAAAATTCAAAATTTAGATTTAGATATAATTAATTAAAAATATTTATTAAATAAATATAATAAAGTCACGGTTAAACAATTATTGGTCACATATTTTTTTAATGATCACATATCATCAAATTAATTGATTACTTATTATTTCGAGGTCACAAATCAAAAATCTTGTAAGTTACAGATTATTTCGAGATCACAAATTAAAAATTTTATGGGTCACAGATTATTTTTTAGTCACAGATCATCAAATTTTAAGGTCACAGACCAAATCGTTGAGGTCACATACTATCAAATTTTAAGGTCACAGACCATCGACAATCAACCCAAACCACCAACTTGTATCACCATAATCGCCGCCGCCGCACACTACACCAACACCCTAGCAAACAACACCACCCACATCGCACCAACAGAATTGGCTTCTACCCACATTGCATCAACAAAACCGAACACAGACCACAGATCACCCACCTCCACCACTTGCATCAACAACCATCACAACCACCCACAACGGACCAATACGTCCAAAACCACCACCAAACGCCGACCACAACCAGACCACCACCACCACCATCCTACCTAGATCCATTGCACCCGGCACCGCACGAAGTCACCAAAGCCACCCACATCCATGCTGAACAGAGAAATCATTTGCAAATCACCCCAACCGCCGAAATCACAGATCAAAAAATGGCAGCAGTTACACCAGATCCACCACGGCACCACCGCAAACACCACACAAAACACCATCCAAACCTTGCAGCAGTGGTTCCTGTGCTGCGGCAAAGCGCCTCCAAACAGCGAGCGATCGTTGCTACGAAGCACTTCAAAACGACGAGTGAGAAAGACGAAGCGACGACGTGAAAGGTGAAGCACCACTGCGGGACGACGTGAAATGCTCTCTCCGGCTGTGGGCGGCGGCACCATGGGTTAACGGGATAAAGTGAGGAGAAAAGATGCTGATTGCTGTGTGAAATGAATTTTAAGGCTGAATTGGGGATGAAATATTTTGTATTAATATTAATAATTAAATTCATACTTGAAATCTGCATAAAAACCATCTCACCTCATATTTGCATTGAGATCTTTAAAAGTCGGGATTTTTGTAATTTCCACTTAATTTAAATTCCATGTTGGGCCTAGTTAAATTGCCATAATAATAATAATAATAATAATAATAATAATAATAATAATAATAATAAACACAAGGATACTACAAAGTAAAATCTTAATATTACTTTTAGTACTCCAAAAATATATATATTTATTAATTGAGTTAAAAATAAGTCAAGCAAGTACATTTAAAAAGTCGTTCTATTGATGATTATATAATTTATTTATGACCTGCCAAATAATTTCATTAGTAAATAAGTTTACAGTGGGTCTCAATATTTTCATCATTGAATTAATAAGACATATAATCGAGTTAGAATAATTAATTACTTGTGCAAAATAGATTGTTTCTCTAAATTTTAATACCTTAAAATTTTAGATAGATAGTGATTTAATATAATTTTTAAAATTGGAAAAGTCCCAATTGTCAACCGCAGACAATTTTGAAACGAATTGCGAAAATTCTGAAAATTGTACATAAGAATATTTAGGGGCATTTTAATTGGAAACAAGAGTCCTGAACCATAATCAAAGGATTCGACCCGGTTCAAAAAGTAAATAAATTAGGAATCAAAATCGAGAATTTTCGAGATTGGATTGATTCTGGGTTCTTGAATCGAAATTGTGAGTACCCGACTCTAGAATTGAATTTGTTAAAATTATTATTATTTTTTTTTATTAGTCCTATGATTCAGTCGAACAAATAATGTTAGCAAGGCTCAAGAAGTAGCATGTTTACAATGCTCAAGTAGTAAGTACCCTAATAATCAGAGTCATTTATTTCTCCCGATATCAATTTAAGCGTTGCTCGACTCACACAACTTGAGACGTTGCACACAAAGCCACAACGAGAATTGGATGTTATTATACCAGTTATTAGATGTTTTTTGATGACATTTTTGCAATGAATTAAGAAAATGTTAAAATATATAATTGACAACATATTTTATTTCTTTTACTTTTACTAGATATTAGAAAGATAATTTGCATTGTCATCTCTTTTTTTAACGAAAAAGTTATGGCTAAAAGTAAAACCAAACAGGAATCAAAATCGACAAGTCAGGGCTCGAAATATCTGAACTATAACTGGGGATTCATATATTGAAATACCTTGATCGAGCCAAACTACATTTATGGCCTAAGAATATATATATATATATATATATATATATTAGAGATTCTATAAAGTACATTACATCCGTTCCGTAAAGATAGACTTATTTTGATTTTCATATGGGTTTAGAAAACTTAATTAGTATATATTGAAACTATAAAATTTACTTATATTTTTTTCTAATATATCCCTATATTGAATAATGATAGTTCATGTTTATTGATAACAAGATATATTGAATTGGGATATATTAGAAAATTAAAACATTAATTATCTATAATATATTAAAATATCACATCAAGGGAGAATCATTTTTTGGACGATTTTAACCTCCATACAATTCAGTTATTTTAATAATATATTACTTCTCGTTTTTCGATATGTAATAAATACTATAAAATTATTGTCATTTATGAAATTTGTGTTATTAATTCTCAATTAATCAATTAATATTTTCATTAATTTAAATTCAATGAATTTTCAATTGATGAATCTTGAATTACATGAATTTATAGTTATTGTAGATGATTTTATTCATATTAATATATCTAAAAATTTTAATGGGTGTTTAAATTTATATATTAACAATTAATTTTTATGTATCAAATATAATATAAAAAGATTACTCATTTATAGTACTTCATCATTACAAAAAACTTGAATCATAAAAATTGAATTTTGAGAGTATAATTTGAGTACAACTTTCTGATCTTAAATTTCTATGCTACATTTTATTTTTTCTTTAAATTTGTTTGAGACTCATCAAATCCTCCGACAAATTAGTATCAAATATTATTTTTATATTACTTATAAAGTATTTTAGAATAACGTGCAATGCACGATCAACTTTGACTAGTGCGATCAAAAATGAAAATGAGAAGCAACAAAACAAGAAAAGTAAATTTATCTTTGTGGACGGGGAGAGTAATAACATTCATGGGAAAATACGTAGACACATGGAGACATGGTACAATTAATTAACTTATATAAAGTAGGTAGACAAAATTTGTTGACAAAATAGGTGTTGACATGATCGAGGATGTTGATTTGTTTTGATTTCAAAATCTGATTTTAAAATGAGTGATATAGATTTTACCAATTCATATTTTGTCAACCTTTTTTGGTCAACCTCATTTGTACACATAACATCACTCGACATGGTAATGGTTTGATAATTTGTACAAGGGTCAGTCAAACAAAGATTTTACATCTGTATGTATACCAGAGGTTTTAAGTATTAAAGATTGTACCTTGCTTCCTCCTTGGTACAACAACTAAATCTGACAATCATTATTTGAAAACATTTTTTCTTCTGTACACATTTACACAATAACATATTTTATATATAAATTCAAAATATTTTCCTATTTTTTAACCTCACATTCTCCTATGAATCACTATTCAAAATATTATTTTTTCTAAATAATGTTTGTCAAACTTGGGCTATCTAAAGTAGGGAAACTCGACCTTAACGATGAATTCACATCGCACGGATTCAAACTCGCGGCAATAGATAATCAAAACTCACATGAATCATCTTAAAACACAGAAATTTCTAGTGATGTAACACAACTTTCTTGCTAGAATTGGTACACTTATTGACGTTTCTTCAGAATTGTTTGTTATGAATTATCTTGAGAAGTAGAACTATTTTATCAAGGTGGTAATATTTCCTCGTGTCCATGTTAAAAAATGATCTTAGAGATGCATCCATTGAAAACCAACGATATTTCCTGCCCTACAATCATTTTGGCAGTTGCCATGCATGCGTTTGCAAAACCAGGAAAAGATTATGCCCCCTAAATTAAAAGGATTAAACTCCTTGTACAGACCCATTTGCACAGGGTCTGTACAGGGCCTCTCACATGGGGGTGGACCCCACATGTGGATCCCATGTGTGGGGTCCACCCCCATGTGAGAGCATCTGTACAGACTCTGTGCAAATGAGTCTGTACGAATAACATTTCCCAAATTAAAATTAGATTTTTAAGAAATTTTAATAAAAGTTGATAAAATGCATCGTTCAAATTTTGTGAATTTTATAAAATGTATGATTAAAATTAATTGCTGACTTTAACATGATATTTTAATCTGATTTTAATTTAGACCAAACAAAAACAATGCCTCGAAGACAATCATACTTTATTTGATTATTGGCTTTTGCATCACATTCTTTATTTTATTTCTTGCATCTTCAATAATCTGAACACGAACTAAGAAGCATTTGCATTCCAGGAATTCAATCAGCACTAAAACAATACAATCATAACAATAAGATGTAGGTCTCTATCCAAGAGCAATAACGAAAAAAATAAAAATAAAAATAAGAAACGCACAAAGCAAACACGTTGATTTTAGAGTAGTTCAGTCTCAATGTAAAAACTACGTCCACTTGCCACTACAAATTTTTCACAATTGTAAAGGAAATTACAAGGTTGATCACACAACTACGTCTTGGCTACTCAATCCCCGTAGACCCTCAAATTGTTTATATATGATAAGAATATCAATGTTTAAAAAGGTTTAATTGAATCCTAAGGTGTAATCATGAATAAAAATTATGACTGCTCAGAAATTTCTTATATTATCAATATTAATAATATCTTTAACGAAATCATAAACATCATCATCTTCCTCATTATAAGTTTCTTTTCATTCGTTGTATCATCCTCCAATTACAATGGTGTATTCTCCTCCGAGTAGTTAGAAAAAACAAAAAGAAAAAGGACATAAAACATTTTAAGTTATAAAGAAATAACTCAAAAAGCTAAGGACAATAATTAAATGTCTGAAAAATGCAAGTTAAATGGGCGAACACTCTAGCTAGCACGAGGCTCAGACTTGAGGCATAAGCCTCATAACTTCATGGTATAAGCCATAGTAAAAGAAGGCATAAGCCTCTCAAGCGACCTTAAACGTGCAGCTTTTGAGCGCATTATGACGGCCTCACATGAAGCACTATTTGAGGCATAAGCCTCAAATATATATATATAAAACTGTGCGAAATATTAGGGTAACCAAATTCCAATATTGTCTACAATGTAATTAGGCTCCAAATAAGTCCAACATTCCCAACATGCTGCATCAAATTTGTTAAAAAATTCCTGTTTCTACCATTTCACCTTCAGCAGTTAAATGATCTCGTAGAACAAAGTAATGCATTGAGAGATATATGTAAAGCAAGATGTATTAATCATTGACATGAATGTATTAAGATCAAAATGAAATCAATTTCACTAAAGAACGAATATAACTGTTTTATGATGGTGGAATCTGGTAAACAGATTGCATTTTTGATTCTAGTAATGAAACATGTTTATCAAGCATTGAAATCACAGCTTCAAATTCTGTAACTTGCCTCTCTATAGCATCAATCTGCTGAACATACTCGTCAAAGCTATTGCTTTTGGATTTCAATTGCTCCACAAATACTCTTAATCCCGATGCCACATCACCAAAGCCTTTGTATTCTTCAGCTACTCTTACATTCATTTTCTCCAAGAGCTCAAGTATATTGTTTGTTCCCTGAAACATGAAAAGTTCAGCAACAGTCATCAGTCAAAACTTGCACAAACTGATGAATAACAACCAAGATTTCTATATCAAACAGAAGAAGATGAAAAAAATAAAAAAAAATAAAAATAATAAATAAAGAAGAATAAGAAAAAAGGGAAAGAAAAAAAAAAAAAATCTGTGTGAAATTACAAACCATTGTCATGGATGAAGTCCTCATCTCTATTAAAGAGAGAAGTAAAATAAAGGAAAACCAGCAAAGCGCACACAAATTTAAAGTAGATCACCTTAATGTGAGAACTACAGATCATCAGTATCATAATCATCGAACAATTCCTCATTGTGGACATTGAGTTTTTATAAATCTTTCACTCATTAAAATGGCACAAGAATAATGGTCCATGAATCCGAAATCAATCATTGTAGCTGTAGTCTTCTTTCATGACATTGTTCAGAGCTCTACATTTTAGTGATGTGAAAACATTTACTTAAGATAATTAATTTTGTCCTCCTAAATATACTCTTGTTCATGTTTCTAAGATTCATATGGACTGGGTTAAGGTAAAAAAAATTGACAGTTATTACTTGGTAACTGATTTCCACCATTTGACTTATGACTATAGATTGATTTTCTCGGATTTTACCTTGAGCAATCATCCATATTCACCAAAGAGTTCAAGAAACACTAATTCAGAATTTGTTTGTCTTCCAGAAGCAGATCCAAAATTTTCAATGACTACTAGATCTTTTACATAACAACACCCCAATTCTGTAATATTCAAAAAAGATTAATGTCAAATGTGTTCCACCATTCAAGTTACCTGAAGCTCGCCTTTGATCATGGTCGAGACACTGGTAAAAAGGTCGTCAAGGGACTCAGCCAGTTGGTCTTTCTGATCCTCCGTACCAGAAGCCATTAGGGATCAGGTTCTGAGCCCACCTCAACAAATTAACCTTATCAGTCTTTGCTTGAAATTTCTCCGTCTACTGCATACGCACCATTATTATAGGTTCATTTTATTTTAATTAACTCACTGGTAATATTTAGTTATGGCACTGGTCCATGTGATAACGATTATCATTCCACATCAGGAAAAAAAATCATGCTAGAAGGACTTACCATACAGGAGATTTTGAATGCATAAAACCATTTAATAGTTGCAATACTACATTTTGGGAACTAAGAGCACACCATAAAGGTTTAAGGACCAGAATGTGCAGACTTACTGAAGTTGAGGGAGATTTGCATTGGCTAGATCCTCATTAACACTACTGGCATGAGAATTACATCTAATTCAGTCAACGCTCGAAAAGCTCATATGGTTTGCGGTAATGAATACCGATGCATGGTTAATTTAATCCATTTTTCATCTCTATTTGTGTCCAGAACAATCTAGTTCAGTATAGCATACCAAACATGTCAGAAGCGTTTGAAATTTTGAGAACAAAATCATGCTATGTTCAAAACACATACACAGAGATAAGAAGAACATAGTGACCAGCCCAATTTAGTTCACACTAGCATACCAAACACGTCAAAAACCAGGGGCGGAGACACCTGGGGTATAGTGGGAGCAAGTGCCTCCACTGGATTTTGGTTCTGGGTATTTCACCTATTATAATTAAGGGGCAACCAGTTTTAAGGCAAGGAGAAACCCATAAACACTCGCATCAAAAATCCAAGAGAAATGTTGTCCAATAACCCATTGTTGCAGGAGGAAGATTACCATCAAGAAACAAGAATTTCGGAAAAATAAATAAATTATAAAGAGTTGACTTGAAATTAAAATCATTCACAGCAATCTGATCGAGCGCGATTTCAACATATAAAGCCAGTTTTTACAGTAATAAAATCCGATAATACCTTTCAATTTTGTTGATGAAGAAGTTGAGTAGAAATCACTGCAACACAAGATAAAATGGTGGCAACGAGTGATGAATATGTCTCCCTCTTTGTCTCTTCCCCAAATTTCAGCTTAATACCGAGGAAAGAAAATCCTTAGCTGCTTGTCCGCTTTGCTTTAAGAGTTGAACGACACGGGTTACAGTTGGACTTACATGCCCTTTTAATTGGGCTTTGCAAGATTTTTCCTCTTTTCAATCAATTTTTCAGGTGGGCCTCAATCGAGTAAGTGATAAAGAAACAAATTAGACCAATTGAAGATTTAACTTTCAGTTTTAGCTTCTGTTCGTAAGGATTAAAATTAAATTTTTAACAAATTTTGATAAAATTTGAAAAAATACGTGATTGAAAAATTATAGGATTTATAAAATATCTTTTTAAAATTAGTTGTTACTTTGACTTTAATAAAACTTTAGATTTTAATCTCTACCAAATTGGGTTTAATGTATGTAGTGATCAATAAAAACAATCTTAAATAAGATGTATAGAAATTCAATTAATTTAGAATTTTTGCAATTTTGTTTATAATTCTTTCAATGCCGGATATTGTTCCCGAAGATATGGTAATTTAAACAATATGTTTCTCTTTTTTATTGTTATATAGAGGGAGGGTAAATTGTTTACTTCATTTGTACTCCCAAAAAAAAAATCATTATTTTTCATTTACAAGGTTGGAGGATCACAAATTCTTGGTCGCAACTATACAATATAGAAGGGATATTACTCAAACGAGCAATAATTGTATATTGCTAAATCCAGTGACATTTGGCAACAATTTACTTTTACACGAACAATCATCACATGAAATTATCATAATTCTACTAGATAGCAGTGGTCAGAATACATCTGTTACCTCTCACATGAACTTGAGCAATATGAATTTATCGCAATTATAGAATGAGTCAAATTCTCAATTTATTAGATAACTCGTCCAAGATTACAATAGTGACATATGATCATATGGTAGAAACTACGAAAAAGTCAAATGCCCCTACAACCGAATTCTTTCAATGTTGGTTCAACTATTGTGATTTCTATTCATAATTTGTAGAGGTTTCAATTGTTGACGTCGTCAATCATTTTATTTTATTTTTAAATTTTTAAATTTTATAGGATAAATTCATAAGAAAGCAACTTTTTTAATATATCCACCGATTAGTTCTTATATGAATCTTCTAATCATGTGGATCCTCCAAAATCGGTTTCCATTACATAATATTCTAAAAATGTATTTTTATTTTTATTTTATTTTGGAGTGATCTAATTTTTTGCAATTTTTTTATTTGTTTCTCATTTCTCTAAAGTAAACGTAATGTTAATTATGGTAGCTATCAAATTTTTCCTAATATATATCCATTTCATTATGTTTCAATATCTAGTACCTTAAATGAACACTATTATCATAAAATAATTATCAAAAAAATATTCTTTAATGTACTCCTCATGAGTTAATCGATCATATTTATACTAATTCGCACAAAATATTATATTATTTGTTCATTTAAAAATAAAAATGGATTAACAAAGGTAACTAGAAATTGAATATACGAGAAATTGGAGGAGAGAGTTTTAAAAAATGAGATATGTACAATGAAAAAATATGAAAGATGTGATAATAACACAACATGTTCTGTTGCAAGATAGAACCTGTCTGTGGTGTTAACGACTAGGAAGAGAAAATATATGAATATAAACAATTTAAAACTAGGCGATTGTTAGTTTTTTTTTTTTTTTTTCTTTTTTTACTATTTTTGAATAGATATTAAGATTCATCCTTCATGTTAAAAATTTGTGTTTAGTTCCATTCTTAATCCCTCATTCCATCTTTTGAGATTAGTATGAATTTTAAGAATCAACTTGATTCGATAGTTTGTTATTAGTCTTATTTTTTTATGATATTAATTATGTAATTACCATTTAAATTGAACTATATATATATATATGAAAATTCTGCTACTAGACTTATTAGCCCAATGGATCTTAAACAGAAAAGCCCAATTAATTTTCCAGAATCATTTCAATCAGTTCAAAATCCAGAACAGATTTCTCAATCAGATATTAGAAGAATCAAAGAAATGTTTGAGAAAATTGAAGAAATACAGCAACAAGTTAAACAAAGTACTACAAAGAAAAAGAAAATACAGATTAAAAAGAAAAATAAAGGCAAAAAGAAAATTGAAAAAGAAAAAGACTTGGATAATTTTGAAGACAATAATTCAGAAGATGATGATAATCCAGAAGGATGTACTGATGGATGAGACTCTTTAGACAGTATTGACAGACACAATTATGAAACAGTCTGCTGTGTCTGGTCTTCAGAAATATTTTTATTATCTGTAACAGGATTTTCAGCCTGTTGAGTCTGATTAAATTGAAAAGTAAGAGAATCAACAATCCCTTGAGTTTGTTGAGCTTTTGGTAAGCCCAGAACCATAAACGGATTTGATAAGTCTTTACCAGCTTCCGTTTGAGTTGGACTAGCTATAGAATTCTTGGGCTCTATAGTACCTGCATGTGTCTGAGCAATTGGATTTGAGATCTTTAAATTAATAATTTCCTGTTCTAATTCAGAAATTTTCTTTTGTAAAACTAATTTTTCTTTGTCCTCTATGTTCTCTCCTATTTTTACTAAATACTAAAATATCATCTATGTAAACTATAATAAATTTGTTATGTTTACTAAAAATGCTATCCATTTTTCTTTGAAAAATATTAGGGACATTTTTTAATCCAAATGGCATAACTAACCATTCAAAATGTCATTCTGGACTAGTAAAAGCTGTCCATTCTATTGAATCTGGGTGCATTTTTACTTGCCAGAAACCTGATTTTAAATCAAACTTACTAAAAATATTACAATCTATATATATATATATATATATATATATATATATATATATATATATATATATATAATTGTGCATCAAAATAATCAACACTGTAACATTATATTCTATTAAATTTTTTCTTGTAAACTATTAAGTTTCAATATAATAGTTGGAGATGTTTAAGAATATTTATACTTTTAAATATAATAGCGATATGTTACATCCCGATTGTAACATAATTGAATACCTGCAAATGCAGTCAATATTTGCACTCAATGATGCGCTAGAACTATGTGAGAAACTTTTGTGTGTATGAGATCCAAAAGGGTCAAATGTTAAAATTAGTTAGCAATTTATGCATCGACCTTGGCAAAATTTTGAAGAAATTTATGGAAGACTTTAAAAACATAGAATGTTAAAGTATTATCGAAGAGAGAGAGAGAGAGAGAGAGAGAGAGAGAGAGAGAGAGAGAGAGAGATATTTAAGAAAGTCGTAAAAGTTGAATAAAGTTCTTACAAATACATCTACAAAAATACTCTAAACAAAATACCATAAAATTGAATTAATCCCCATCATCTATTCAAATGAAGTGAAACTATAAAAGGAATGGATTAGCACCGCCTTTTATAATCTTTATAACCTTTATTAATCACACCATTTACATAAACCTCTCGATTTGGACTTTAGTAATCTTTAAATTAAACTAATTTTGACTCCTACAATTGTGAAAAAGTGACAGAGTTGTTCTTTAACACACTCTTGGTACTTGTAATACGTTATCTAGCTGAATTGATCACAAATCCCTTAATGAGAAAGGAAAAAAAAGATAGAAATTAATATTAATGCAATATTTGGTTCTGCAAAATATTGTTTGAAGGCTCTCGAGGAGCAAATATTTTGTTACATTGATGAACAAAATTTAATACCATAATCATTTTCTCTCCACTACACAAAAGGAAACATCATGATTTGTATCATAAAAGTAAAGTAGAATTGAAATAAACATACATTGAACTAAAATTTTAATATCTTGGATATTTTATTATTTTAATGAAAGATTAGACTATACGAGTAAATAATGATGCGAATAATTACTGAAATATCTATTGAAAAATTATAAGATTTTTCAGTTTAATTAATTCTCACGAGGTTCTTGTTCTTAGGTTATATAGACCAATATATCTTTACTAGCTAAAATTGGGACTGAGTTCCTATACTTCTAGATACTACTTAGGGTAATATATGTGCTCATCACCTTCATATTGACCATGTAGATATTATTTGATTTTAACATGCATTTACTAAATGATTACATGACATTTATTATATACTTGCAACCTGAAGTTTGCAATATTATTTACCCAAATTTTAATAATATGTTGCCAAATGATTCAACCAGGACGTGTGTCTCTTGATAATACTAATGAGTTTACATCTCAAACTTTTAATAATAAATGTATCTTAGTTGGTGTTGACATCAATTTCTGCGGACAACAGATACTGGGCTTACTCGCGCACACATGAACTAGTTTCAACACATAAGGACGGGTTGCTAGTTCGTCAATACTCCAAAAATGTTGGATGTGGGAGAAGCTCAATGACACGAGACAAATGTGTTTGGATTCCGAAGGTAGATTTGTGAAACAATTGTATAATGACAACCAATCTTAAACAACTCAATTGAAGCGAAATAATTTGAACTCGTTGCTAAGGAAGTGTAAAATCAATAAAGGAGAAGAAAAAAGGTGGCTTTTAATATCTAAAGATACATTAGCCTTCAAATGTTACATGGAGGAAGTATTTATAGTATTACAAACAAAATGTTGGCCCTTGGATGAAAGTACACTCGACCTCATCTTTTTATCGAATCATCTAACCTTAGACATTACTTTGGACTCACTTGCTTGTCCTACACTTAATGCTTACACAGAGCAGTCACCCTATTGACAAGGCTTGACATTTATATTTATCACAAATGTCCATCAATCATTCCAAAAAGATTTCATACATAAATTCAGGATCTTTGTATGGGTTGTCACTTACTATAACGGGTTTCGGACATTGTGGAGCTTCATCGCCTCATTGCTTCTGCTTTAGTAAAAGAGATATGAATGGGCCACGGATTAATGTCTTAGGCCTCGTCACTTGTGTGGAAGGCTTTGCTGGAGGTAGTTCCAATACTGAAGTATGTCGGCTAACCTAATAATTTACCAGAGAGACTTAGTGGGTCGACCATGTGGACATCGGTGACGTGGAGCCATGTCTTGCGTGGCGTAACAATAGTCCATCAAGTACATGTATAGTTTATTTATATCAT